AATGCATCTTGATGTTCTTAACAAATAATTTAAATCAAAGATATTGGTCAATAATGCCAAATATGTAAATTTGTGTTTCAGTCATTTTTATACTGGCTTAAAAATACTTCATTAAGTCTACTAAGCAGGGGTGTAGAAGGTGTTTAATAGGGCCAGCCCAAGTAATGATCTTGGACCAAAATAAACGGGCAGAAAGTCAAATAAAGGGGGGGCAAAAGGAGATGTTTTTCACAGACGCCAAGAAAAAATTAAATGCCAACCCCCCCCCACCCCCCCCACCTCCCCGCTGCAAAGTGTGTCACTGAGAGTTTAAATATTGGTGTATTCACCTTTAATACTAGTTATTTAATTGCAGCAGTTGCTGGATTGGTGCAGTTCAAAGTGGAGTGCGTCAAATAAAACAATATTAACATAAGAGGTGAGACGTGTCCATAATTTCACTGATGTCTCGGGTCACGACAGACAGATGGAACCCACGCGTCTGGGACTCTTTAAGGAGTCTAAACAATATCAGCTTTGTTCTGCAGGAACTGTTGCGGTATCAGCTTCACAGGTGCAAAAAGATTTTGACAATGTGTCAAAATCTTTGATGGTCTGGCTGGCTTCAGATGTTGCTTTCAGATGGCCAGTCTGATGCTTACTCAAGAACTAAGGAAAAAAACCAGAGTAATCTGGTTTTAATGTTCTCATGTTATGATTTTGTGTAGCCAACCAGAGGTTGACAAGTTTGAGGAATTTTACCAAGAATCTCAGAATTCACGCGCCTTCTTTGATGCCGGAGGCTCAGATCTGGGGGTGAAGGCTATTTATGTGTCATGGGTTTAACTTTACCTTACTTGTTCTTGTGTGAGTGCAAATGGTGATGACCTCTTCATATAAACATGCTGATGCAATCAATGTAACCATAATCATAATATTCATTTCAACTTCAATCATTAAGCACAGATTAATGAAAGCATTTCATTATATTATAATTATTATAAGTAGCAATAAAACAAACGTTTATTTAATGATTATCTAGCTTATAAGTTGTAGAAGTTCATATTTTATTTTAAATCTTCTCTTCTTTCTTTCTTCTGTGAAGCAAGGAGTCTTAGATAAAAGGATGCTCTGTGAGGGGACCCTTGGAAGGAAAATGATGTTAATGTTAATGATTCAGAGACCGTCAACAAGCAGTGCAGGATCTTGTGGCTTGTTGGCAGATAGAATATAAAATCCACCTCATAGGATGGAATTAGGTCTGTAGATGACCCATGACCCTATAGGTCAATCTGTAGGTGAAAAACTGACCATTTGTGGACATTACATAGAAATTAAAATGTACTTGCTTACTAAATGCTCTGTGACAACTGTACGTAAAGCAGATCTCAAATGCTATTGGCTAATGCAGAGCGGCGCTCAATTCAAACAGCATGGAGCTCCACAAGATGGGACAGCTGGGGGGGCTCAGCAGAGAGAACAGGAATATTGCCGACATTATAATCACAGTACTGGGTAACGGGGGTCCACATGTTTGAACACCAGAATCATAACCTGTCTCAGAGGAGACACAGTTTCTCTCTTATTGTTGATAAAAATATACTTGATGTTTTGAGATCCAATCTGTTGTTGTATGATTTATAGACGATGTTCCTTTTCTCCTCTTTACAACAGCTGCTTATGACTAAATGTCAGAGTTCAGCTGAGCCACTGCATCATCCTCACTAGGGGTTGTCACGGTAACCGGTGTAGCGGTAAACCCCGGTAAAATTGTTGACAATAATAATAACCGTCTTGTTTTAAAAAATATATTATATCGGTGGGTTTACCGTGGCTGCGGTGTAGGCACGGTGACCCTTACCAGCCACCGTATCATCTGCTGAAATTGCCGGCGGCACATGCGCACTTTGTTGTTTACAACCAAAACTTTCTTGAAGCTAAAGCTGAAATAATGGCCAAAGGAGGGAGACGGCAGCGCTCAGGACATTTATTATCCCTCAAAGAAGACAAAGACGGAAGTACGGGCCATCTTTTGGATATTTGAAGAATGTCGAGGGACAGCTGATAGAAGACGGCTATCCTGTTTGCAGCACGTGCAGAAAAAGTGTCTGTGAAAGGCAGCAACGCTTCAAATCTCATGACACATCTGCGTGACCATCACCCACAACTCTACAGTCATCGCAAGGCAAGCTAAGGTTAGCGTTAGCGTTTTAGCTAAAATGCGTGATCCGAGGATTTGGGTTGAGGGAGAAAAGCAACGAGTCGCTATATAAAGCAGCCGCAGCGCCGCTACCTGCATATAAACCGTGTCGCGGACACCGCCATGTTGAAATGACGCTATGTATTACGGGGCTCGCAGGGGCAGATTAGAGTTGGTCTCTCTCCGACAATAATTATGAATTTAACAATGATTACTGTCTGATGACATTTTCCCCACATCTGATCTAATATTTTTAAATGATGACATCAAAACAGACATAAAATAAGAAGTTATGGGGCAAAATATTGGTATTCTAAAGGACTAAAGGGGAAATATGTATACAAATAACCAACATAATTACACAATAACACATTTTAGACAAAATTTAGACACAAACTGAGGACAATATTTTCCTGACATATAGGGTTTATGTACTTGTCTGAAAATGTAACACGTTTTAAAAAAATACTGCGATAATACCGAAAACCGTGATAATTTTGGTCACAATAACCGTGAGGTTAAATTTTCACACCGTGACAACCCTAATCCTCACACGCCATAACATGACGGTGAGTGTTACTGGAGCACATGGAGACAGGAGCGAGTGTGTTTTGGTTACCGATGCCAGAGGAGTCCTCCACCATGGGGTTAATCTCTACCATGGAGGCGTCATACTTGATGAAAAGATTGTAGAGTTTAATCATGTTCTCTGCTGCCTCGTTCACCAGTGCGGGTGGGAAGCCCATCTTTTGAGCGACCTAGAGCAACACAAAACATTCATCATGGATCGGTGCAACCTGCTGAAGCCGCTGCTGCTGCAGTGGAGCTCTGGCATGCAGCTTTAATGTCTGAGTCCCTCTGCTCAAACGCAGCAGGCAGCTGTTCAGCTGGAGCTCACATCCTCATTATCAGAAAACACGAGTCTAGCTCCAGAATTACAGGGATGATTAGATGCAGAACATTTTCTATCTGCTCACTAATTACTACAAAATAAAACCAGCAGTAGAAATCACAGAGAGAATATTGATAATCACCCAAAAACACAATAATGCTGTTAAATAAGATCATAAAAATCATCAGGGCCATGTCTCACACACACACACAAACACACACACACTTCAAACAGCCAGAACATCTCCAGCTGGGTGACTGTTTTAATCTACAGGTTGTACCTTGACAGCCTGCTCCTTCTTAATGCCCTCCACAATGTCGATGGGCTCTTTCACGATGGCGTCTGGATTCTCCGCTGCCACATCTTCGATGTTCACGCCCCCCTGTGAACTGCCAATCAGCACCGGGCCCTGTGCAACGTAAGTGGAACAAATAAAAACAAAGAAATAAAGTTTCCTTTCCCTCCAAAACACATGTTTAAACACAATAACTGCAGCTAAAAGCCCCTCCTTGTTACTACTGCTGCTGTGTTACATTCATGTGTCTCTAAAGCTCATTTCAAGCTTTGCGTTTAATTCTTGTGTTGAAAAAGTTGTTTTTGTGAATTACAGGAGGAGCAGCAGAACCAACGTTGTTCAGCTGGCAGTGACGAAATCAAAATGATGTTTCTGATACAGAAAAGAAAATCACCTCTGGTTGTAAAGTGGCTCCAAATGATTTTACTGCATCTGTCTATTCCTTTCAGAGCGTTCAACAGACTTTTAGGCCTAGTCCACACGTAGCCGGGTTTTTTTTTTTTAAAACGAATATCCGCCCCTCCAAAAACTTGCATCCACACCACCTCGTTTTAAAAGAAACTGTTCACACGTACCCGGATAAATACGTTGTTAAGGACATGCCAGACCTGTAGGCAGCAGTACTTCCCCCGTTCTTAACCTCGTCCTTCGTCTGTGGTCTTCCGCAAGGAGCAGTAATTCCGCTTGTAAAAACAAACAAGCAGAAAGCGCTTGGACAATTGATGGATCGGGTAGTGACAGAGCGCAGCTCTGAGGGCATCCATGCTGTCGGCTAGTGTAAACACAGGTCGGACACGTGATGTCAGCATTTTTTGTTGCGGAAAGTGACGTTGCGGACCTTAAAACTCCAGTTTTGTCTGTCCACACGCAGACACCCAAAACGGAGAAAACGCAGATCTTCACTTTGGCCGGAGTTTTTAAAAAGATCCGTTTTCGTGTGAAAAAAACTGTTTTCATGTGGATGACAGGCCAAAGCGTAGAAAAATATCTACGTTTTGGCAGATCCCCGGCTACGTGTGGACAGGGCCTTACAATAGGCCAATCAAACGACTCACTTCAGCTGGGAAACAAGCCGTGATTATTTGTTAGACTCAAGAATGCAGCTGCTTTTTAGATAAACCAGTTTTATGTGATTTTTCACATCCAGAGATGGAAACGTGTCTCTAAAGCTGTCAGGACCTTTCAGAGACACAACCCACCTAAACCTGCAACACAGCTGATCTCTGCAGCTACAAAGGTGATAAAAACCTTTGCTGTGTTCAAACGTGCATCAATATTTACAAAGTATTTTAAAACAACCTCAGAAGGCATTTATAACACATGCTGTTTTCACCTGGTCTGAATCACCCAAAATAGTATGAAACAGCTGTAGGTTGATACTACACTGCCACCTAGTGGTGGTACGTCTGTTTAAACCAAAACAAGTTGGAAAAGGAAGGAGCTCATCTTGATGATCAGCACCATGGCCTGATCCAGACCCACCGCCGGACTCCAGGAAGCCTCCTTTTCCATCATTTGGGAGCAGCAGAGAAAAGCAGAACCCATAAAGAGTTTATGCAGCAGCAGATTCGTGACTTGTATAATATTTTATGTAGGGATGTCCCGATTTTGCCCTCGAGTCCGAGTCATTTGATTTTGAGAATCTGCCAATACCGAGTCCCGATCCGATACTTTTGATACATAAAAAAATAAAGAAAAGGAAGAAACAGTTCCAGAATGTTCCTTGTTTTTTTATTTAATTACCTTTTTATTTTAATTTTTAACAACAGATCACTTCTGTGAGGTAGCTTGAACAATCAAGTAATAAATAACAAATTCTTCAATTTTGGACTTTATTGCAAATATAAAAAGTCTAATATAAAAACAGATAGCACTTCAACTTAAAATACCTGGCAGGGGTCCATTTTGCCTCGGCCCCCAAAATGCTTAGATACGTCCCTGGGCATGGGACGGAGTTTTAAAGATGATCTGAATTGTATCAACTATATTGTGTTTATTGTGTTTATTCGCTTAGCAGACGCTTTTATCCAAAGCGACTTACAATTTATAACCTATAGGGCATGTTGTGATCTGTGGGGGAAACCGGAGTACCCGGAGGAAACCCACGCATGCATGGGGAGAACACGCAACTCCACGCAGAAAGGCCGCAGCCGAGTTTTGAACCTGTGACCTTCGTGCTGCGAGGCAACAGTGCTAACCACTGCGCCACCATGCAGCCCATATATAGCCCATATATAAATACTACATGCTGATAAGTTATTGCTTTATACAGGTACAAACGTGTAGTGGGATAAATCTACCTACATTTTATTTTTAAGAACTTTGTTTTGTTTTCTTGGTTTTTAATTTCCTGTCTTCCTGTCCTGTCTGTCTCTGATCTTCCTGCATCTCCCAGTCCTCCAGAAAAACTCTTGCCTGCTTCCTTCTTTTTCACCTCGCAAGTAACTTTTTAACTAGCAGATCAAATTGATCTATTGACCGCAAAAAAAGCGGAGTGTGCGCCGCGCTGCCCGGCTGCGCCAGTGACGAGCGCTGCAGCGCGAGCGCGTCCACACGTCATGCTCAAATGCAGACAGAACTTACCAGAGAGAAAATGAACGGACACGAATGACTGTGTGTTAATTATATATTTTTGGTGACGCCACTTAGAAACTTAGAAAATGTTACTGTGGCCGTGTGCAGAATGCAGTTGGAGTTCATGAATAATCAGCGGTCTGCCTGCTGCTCTGCATCTCTGTCTCAGCCTACGCTGAGTTCATATAATATATTAAAGGTAGAAACTGGATCTCTTTGTGCTCCTTCTGGGTGTGTAGGTTAAGGGCATCGGGGAGCCTGACAACCTTTAAGGAGAACCAAGTTGCTCTCCTGTAATTTGAACCCAGTATCCGAGTCCGGATCGGGGCTTGGATCGGGAAGTAAAGCCCGAGTCCCGATCAGTCCGAAACCACGTGATCGGGGCCGATTTCAGATCATGTGATCAGATCGGAACATCCCTAATTTTATGTATTGATCAGACATTCCTCCACAGTTTTGAGTATTGTGATTGGTTGGCTCATGTGGGAGTTTGGTACATTTTTCCCTTCCTTTCCTCGTTGCTTTAAAATTGTTACAAAAAGACTTGAAAGTAAAATCCCAGAAAAGGAAAACAGGTCAGCCGGTGATCATCATAGCATCCTGCTAGCATCTGCTGCTAAGACGAGCCAGTCAGAGCCGATGAGCTCAAACCCTCAGGAAGCTGCAGCTGAGCATGCCTCCTCCTTGGACTAAAAGTGTTTCTGTTCTGTTCCCTGCTGTAATAATTAACCTCCATGCACGTCTAGAATCCCCAAAAACACCCCGCTGAAGGCAGCGACCGACTTAGCTCACCTGATAGGACCTCTCCATTGCGATGGCAAAGTAGTACTCCCTGCGTGGATACCTGCGCTCACAGATGAACACCTGGTTGCAGATTCGACCCGCCTCCCCCGTCTGTTTGGTGTACAGTTTCCTACCAATCATCTGAGATGAAATGTCTCGAGCTTCTTCAGGTCTGAGGATGACAGGGCACCAGAAAAAGGCCAAAGATTCATTTGGGATGAAATCGACTTCAGACAGGAGATTATTACAGATTATATTTGAATACTTTGCTGTTAACAGCAAGCTCAGCCTACACCAGTCATGTAAAGGTGAGTTATCTGGTGTTTAATAAAGCTTCAGACCTCTGTTCAAGCCAGATTAAAATCAGTCTCTGAACTTCCTGGTTTTAGTAAATACACTAGCCACTGAAACTGTCCCACTATTAACACAGGAAACACCTCTGATGCAGCTTCAGCTGTTTGTCAGATATTTTATCAGTCTAACTCGAACATCTACAGGAAATGTCAGCGGATGACTTGAGAAGTGATGTTACTCTCCTGTCATGTGCTAGACGTTTAACCCGGTGGTGTTTTATTAACCACGGGTGATAAATCACATCCTTCTGTGTCAGATCAATGTTTTCAGCAAGAAGATAAAATCACACCAGTAGACACGGGAACGCTTTAGTCACATCACTCTCATCTTTGACAGAACAGAGCCATCGCAAACAACAGTCTTTACGTCCCAATAATGTCTTCTTTCTTCCGGCTCTTGGAGGGTGCAGATGCTTTTTCCTCCTCCCCTCCATATATTATCCTCAAGGCCTTTGTCTGTCTGTGTGTGCTGGGTGCACTACTGCTTCTGCATTTTTCTGGAAACTGAAATTCACTAAAATGGATCTCGTCAGTTGGTCTCTCAACGCGATTGATAACATTTTTTCAACGATGAGAACGGGAGAAGGGGCTCCCGGATGTCCTGCTGGTACGGACCCAGTTGGACACATCATGGACTCCTGGAAACAGTGGAACTTGATTTGTTTATCTCAGCTGTCTGTGGAGGACTCTGAAGACGTGTGGATATTCGTGGTGTTGGTGTCAGGTTTCCTGCTCATTGGCCTTGGAGGCTACCCCTGGCTTACCGGAAAATTAACGAGCTGTCGAGGAATATTGGCCTGATCCCGGAGCTCAGAGATGGTTTGCACCGCGCTGCGAATTCACAGACTCACATAATTGTCGAGATGAATCGTAAGCTTGGAACTTTGGCGGAGATTCATTCTTTGGCACAAAAGATGGATGCCATCAAGGATAGAGTGGACGAATCAGCACGGATTGGGATAGTTTAATGTCAATTATTGGGATTTTGAGAGGTTGAGGACCAACAAACTGTAAGACAGAGAGGAAATGATCTCTGGCTGGCCCCAAAACAATTTCTAATCGGAATCTGGCGTCCTTGAGCCTGCAAGTCTCCAACGAAAACTCCCCCCTCAGAAGATATGTGGAATGTGCCGTCGCTATGGCAACTCAACTCTGTCTCCTTTCCCAGCCTGGGCGGGACTGCGGGAAGGCCGCTGAAGCATCCAGAGTCACTGCAACCCTCCTCCCCCTATCCACACCGAGGTGACATGCGCTGCTTCTATCGTGGCTGCAGGAACTGAAGTAGGGATAGTCCCAACCCACCACCCCACCCAGTGGACACTTATGTTGTGTTGTCTGAAGTCTGTTGCATATCTGATTGAGGTGTTTTTTTGCAGAGCAAAGCTGCCCTCCCAGTGGAGGGTAGCTCTGAAGTGCCTTTTTTTTTCCCTCCACCTGAACCAATCCTCATGTAACCCTCTCAAGAATTGTGTGTACTGAAACTCTAATTTCCCTCTGGGATTAATAAAGTATCTTTGACTGATTGATAATAACAGTCTACAACACATCTTACATCCACAATCTAACATAAACAACAGAACTTCTTCCTATTCTTCTCAGACGTGTCTTACTTACAAATTTTTATCATAACATCTGTTAGCATCCTCATAATAGCCTTGATCTACATCTCACCTGATCCAGCAGGTGGAGGGTAAAGCTAAACACCTTTTAAGGGTCTGAATAGCTCCAGCTGTTGACCTCTGGCTCTAGTTTCACAGCCTGACAGGAGGTGATAATGGACTGGCTTATCAACCTTCTACTCCAAAGCAATGATGTTTGATTTGTCACCCGATATCTGACCCTTCTGGTGCATCTGTGTAGTCACCGGGTACACATTTGTATGTTACACAAACGTGGATGAAGGAAAATCTCAGAAGGACCTACTGTTCCAGTCACATGGTGTCGTAGGACTGAATACTTCTCAGATTTTTCATTCCACACTACCTGGATGAGCATCTGTGATTGATGACTTACGAGTAGACGATCCTAACTCCTCCCTTCAGGCCGCCTTCAAACGTCCCCTTTCCTCTGCCTCCAGCCAGAACCTGAGCTTTCACCACCAGGTCCTTCGAACCTAACAAACACACAACAGTAGGTTTAATAACAATCACATGGATATTATAGAAAAGTGCTGCTAATGAAGAAAAAAACGTAAAAATGAAACTGTTTTTGTCAACAAGGATAGAAAAACACTATTGTCTGAGTGATTTTTCAAGGGAACTTAAAAATATATTTGCTTGTTACTTTGTTGATGATGTTTTAGCAAACTCTATAATGTTAGAATTTGATATTTCAGACAGCTAGGGTTCAAAGAGAATCACTCACACACACACACACATTATGTAGTTTTCAACAGTTGTAACTCGCATCAAGTTCAGAGTTGGTTCAAGGAGAAGGAGGCTATTTTTTAACTGGGTGTTCAGTGTCAAGTTACTTACACACACACACACAGAGAGAGACAGAGACACAGAGAGAGACAGAGAGACAGAGAGAGAGAGAGAGAGAGAGAGAGAGAGAGAGAGAGAGAGAGACAGAGAGAGAGAGAGAGAGAGAGAGAGAGAGAGAGAGAGAGAGAGAGAGAGAGAGAGAGAGAGAGAGAGAGAGACAGAGAGACGGAGAGAGAGAGAGAGAGAGAGAGAAGACACGGAGAGAGAGAGAGAGAGAGAGACACGGAGAGAGAGAGAGAGAGAGAGACACGGAGACAGAGAGAGAGAGACAGAGAGAGAGACACAGAGACAGAGAGAGAGAGAGAGAGAGACAGAGAGACAGAGAGAGAGACACAGAGACAGAGAGAGAGAGACAGAGAGAGAGACACAGAGACAGAGAGACAAAGAGAGAGCAGGAGGAAGAGAGAAAGGGGGGTGCTGAACCCAAAAGGGGACCACAGCGGTCCGAGTGATCTGACTCAACTACTTTTGCTGACTCAGGATGGACACACACACACACACACACACACACACACACACACACACACACACACACACACACACACACACACACACACACACACACACACACACACACACACACACACACACACACACAACAGGAGCTCTTACCGATCTGCTTGGCCACTGCGTAAGCCTCATCAGAGGAGCTGGCCACCATGCCGGCTGGCACAGAGATCCCCTCCTCTTTGAGGAGGTTGATGCTCATATACTCATGTAGGGAGAGGTTCCTCCGCTGCTGCTGCAGGTGGGGGGGTAGTGGCTGAGACACATGGCCCCCAAACAGACCTGAGGAACCACCAAGAACCTGGGGGTGAAAGTAAGAGACTAAACAAACAACTGGTAGGAGGTAAAGATGCGAGAAAAACGACATAATGTCTTCAGTCACTGAGCCAAAGACCTTCAGGTTTTTCTGTTTGTTTTCCTCATGTAGAGTTTGTATTGCACAAAAGCCAAAATGCCCATCTGAAACAACTAAATGTCAGCACCTGACTTGTGTGCATGGTCCCTATTGCGTCAGATTGTGTTTTTAGATCAACTTTCTACTGGAGGTAATGCAATGACTGCTTTTCAAACCCCACTAAAGAAGAAATATTCAGCTAAAATCCTGGAAACTGAACTTTCTTCAATTACTTTCTAGAAACATGAGGAAATGTTTCTACTGCTAGCAGCAGACTAACCCTAAGCCAGTTGACATGCCTGAGGATGTGAAACTTAAAAGTTTCTTCTGGACATGAAACCATGACTTCCCCAACAGGGTCGCATGTAACTCAATCTGGGAAAACCAGCAGGCAGAAGTTGTCAGCTGATATTTATCTCCAGAAAAGCTGCTGTTGTAAATCCACCGGGGCATTTAGGTATATTATGAAAATAATTATGATTAATAAATAGTGAGAAAATGCCAGCCTGTTAGTTTTATGATAAGATGGTAGGAATTCCTGAATTGCAACACTTGGAGCAGCCTTTAAAAGTCTTGGGTTTAGGGGGTGGTTTAAGGGGGCCATGGGACCCCTGGAGGATCACCTGCTTTACTTTACCCGACTTATCCTTTTCGGTCCATCGAATCCCCGACAGCCTTTCTCTGCGGTGAAAGCAGTTCGTTTTCAGAAGCTTAGCTAATTTGTCAACAAAACCTTCCTAAAACGGACTCCCGATGGGTGGTAAGCAGACATCACAGAGCCGCGGAAACACGGTGGATGTTAGCGGAGGTCAAGGAGCTTCGCTGCACGAATACAGAAACAAAGTTGTCGTTCACAACAACTCGAGCTCCTCTGTGACTCCCTAAAAGGTGCCCGAAGTGCCTCTGGTGGTGCTGAAGCGCTGACAACATGCTAACAGAAGCTTCCCGCTAGTTAGCATGTTAGCCAAAACAATGAAAAGTCTATGTAGTTGTGCTAATGTCAAATTGACCCTTCAACTTATCGGGATACTGTGCTTCAAAGGACAGGTGCCACGCTGTAATAAACATCTGCGACGAAGGCCAGAGGCTTTCGCTTCAGCTGGGACACAAACTCACCTTGGTGGCGGAGCTGATAGTGTTCCTGGCCCCTGGTGTTCTCAGGGTAGCCGTCAAACAGCCGCAAAGCAGGGACGTCGCCATGTCTTTCAGCAGATGAAGACAAATGCGCATGCGCAGCGAGCGGCATAGGTAGCCTGTGATCAAGGCAAGTTATTCTGATCTTGTTTGATGTGCGCCATGCATTTCACGTGTGATGTCCGTGAACTTAAAAGACACATTTTGATGCCAAGAAAGCGCTTATTTTCTACAGGCGGCAACAGTTATTTTAGGTGTATTAGGTTATTTCAGTTATTTGTCTGAACGGACTCACTGTGCGTCTCAGTTACCCGAGCTTCACACCTATTCAGCGTAACTTGTACCAAGTTTTGTAACTTCGAACATGTTTCATCACATGTAACTTTGGATTCGTAACTTGTAACTTTAGTTTTCTAACTTGAAATTCTTAATTTGTACTTGTATTTCTTGTTTTGTAACAGGAAATTTTCATTTTGTACGTGTATTTTTTTATTTTGTAAAATCAAACTTTTATTTTGTACGTTTACTACTCATTTTGTAACATCAAACATTCATTCAGAAACATGAAACTTTTGTTTTGTAACTAGCAGACTTCCAAATTGAAAAAATCAAGGTACAAGTTTGAAATCAAAACTCTCAAAACACACATTTCATTCTACAGGTGATATAGGGGTTGCATGGCTTAATTTTTTTTAAAGTCGACAGTCAAGTGAAAATCGAGTTGTTTTTATTTGACTATTTTTCTGTCCTGTCTGTTTATTATCTTCCTGCATCTCCTCGCAATCCTAAATAAAAACTGCTACCTGGGTTCATATATATTCACCTCATGAGTTACCTTTGAACTGCAGTTCTAAAAGGTCCACCGACCGCAAAAACAGCGGAGTGCGAGCTGCGAACAAGGACAAAACAGATGATGCGCCCCACTCCACAGCAGGGGATGCATCAGGCAAAAGTAAAAGACAGAAAACATAAAAGGAAATGAGCCGACATGAACGACCGTGTGTGACACCTGATTTGGACGCAGATAGGAGTGCGTCAACGATTAGAGCTTTGCATGCGCAAGCTGGTTAAGATTAGGATGGGGTGAGGGGAAGGTTAAATTGCAAAAGGGAAAAGGTCACAATTTGGTTAAGGCGGGTGTCAGTACTTTATTTTTGCTAAATCAACTGGACAACAACAGAATATTGGTTATAGCATATGCAAACAGCTAGAAAACTACTATTATAATTTATCATACACACTATTTTATATCAGAAGCTAATGCAGGAGATAGGTGTAGGAGACTATGTTCATGTTCAGCCTGCATGACAAACTTAGACTGATCAAATATAATCAGAATATTTTAAAAGAAAGAAACTTTTAAAACGTGTTTTTTCAGTCAGCCACACCTTCTGAAACTAAGTCATGATCGTTTTCATCCTTATCCAGTAGATGGCAGTAACGTACGTGACGTACTTGAGATTACAAGTATTTACAATTATAAACCATGACGTAATTTCCGGAGAAAAAGTAAACAAGGTGCTACAGCGTTAGCTTCGCTTATATTTCAGGTCGTGTTCAGTGAACGTTTAAGGTGGATATTTTGGCCTCTGCAGTGAAAATGTCTTCATTCCAATCTCTGAGAGAGTTTATCAGCACGCGACTAACAGCTGCTGCGGAAGAAATATTCGTTAAGTTTGAAAAAACCATCGAGGAAGAGATTTATCGTCAGCGCAGACTGCTTGATTTGAGCTGGAAATCACAGATCAACTCGCACAGAATAGGTACGAAACACCAGCGGCACTAATGTGGTTTTACCCAGGACACAATACGTTTGGAGGGCCTCGTTAATAAAGCTTTTTTTTTTTTTTTTGCACATCTGTGGTGAAATCAGTTGTGAGAAATTATGTTCCCCTGGAATATTCCGTTATAACTTTAGCATATCAAGAGCAAAATTTCTAAATTCACAGGATTTATTGTTATGAGAGGACCGAACAACCTCAAATAAAATCCAATACTTCAGCAGAGCATTAGAATAAGAAGGGAAGAAAGGAAAACACATTCAGGTTGTCCTGTAAGTTATTTTTATAAATAGTTGGGCTTCTTTTCATTCAATCATATGTTTGGGATGTACATTGAAAGGAAAGGTGTCAATATGAGCCTCGTTGCTCATATTGTTACATGTTTACATCCTCATTGTGCAGCTGAATTGAGTGAGGTGCGTTCCCACGATGAGAAAGGCATGCACTTTTCTCTGCACAACACCTGTAGCTACTACAGCAGTGCGGATCCAGCGTACTGTGAATCCTGACGTTTTGCTGTTCATGTGCAATTTCTCTTTGTTTATTAACATATCCTTCATTGTCGGCTGGCTCCGTGTTTTTGTCCTCGTTGTTGCAGTGAACTGGGAGTCTTGGTTTCAAACTAGGATTGATGGAAACAAGAAGCGCCGACGCCTGAGGGGAAAAGCCAAAAGAGAAAGAATTTTGTTTTGAAGGTGTCAAATCAGATTCATAGTGTTAAGCAGCTCTAATTTTCAACCACATTACAACAAAACAGCAACACGAACCTACCACTGGCTTGCAACGTGGATGTTTTATCTCCACAAATAACACAAGCCTGGAGGAGCTTCTGCCATGTGTTGGTGTGTTACGACCTGGCTCATTGGACTACAACATAAAGACCTGGACCAGAGTTGGGACTAACGAGTTACAAAAGTAATTAATTACTGTAATAAATTGCATTTTGCTGTAATGTGGTTAATGTAAGACATTGCAGGAAGAAGAATGGTAATATTTTACTTGGTACAAATGTCAGTGCATTACAATGTATTTTTAACCCTGAATCCAGTGGTGGGTTCTCTTTAGGGTTCGAGTTATGCAGGTCCCAAAAAAGGTCCAGTTTCCATCTATATCACATTATCTATAGACTCTCGGCTAGGGATGGATAATATATCAGCATCAATATTGGTATGGGCTGGTGTTAGTCATTTTTTAACATATTGGTATCGGTTCGATAAATAAAACTGGGCCGATATTAACAAGCGATATTTTTTCCATCTCATCTCCATTTGTTTGCCTCTTTCAGAGGGTGAGGGGGATGATGTGTAATTGTTTAGTCATGTGAACAGTAGGGTTGTCACGGTAACCAGTGTAGCGGTAAACTCCAGTAAAAAAGTTGACAATAATAATAACCAGGGATGTGTATTGTTGAAATTCTGGCGATACGATACATATCACAATACAGGGGAGACGATACGATATATCACAATATATTGCAATAAATTCAGTCAGACATTACAAGCAATTTTTTTTTACTAAATTTATTGTAAGAGTGTTCAATAAACAGTCCAAATTGATACGTAACATGTTTAACATGAGGTATCTGACCCATGATGGAGGTATTTGCATTTCAATGGTGGAAAAAAAACCCGTTGCACACTGCTGCCAACTAGCGGGTGGCGATTGGATTGCACAAAACGAAAAGAAAATACACAAATGTTTGCATGTAAATTCTTTCAAAAATTAGATACACGGCTTTTGAATATCGATGTAATAATCGCAGGAAGAAATATCACGATATATTGCCATATCGATATTTCCGATACACGGCTTTTGAATATCAATATAATATTGCTGGAAAAAAATATCACGATATATTGCCATAGTGATAGCGATATTTTCTTACATCCCTAATAATAACCGTCTTTTTTAAAAAAATATATATTATCTCGGTGGGTTACCGTGGCTGTGGTGTAGGCGCGGTGACCCTTACCAGCCACCGTATCATCTGCTGAAGTTGCCGGCGGCACATGCGCACTTTGTTGTTTACGGCCAAAACTTTCTTGAAGCTAAAGCTGAAATAATGGCCAAAGGAGGAGACGGCAGCGCTCAGGACATTTATTATCCCTCAAAGAAGACAAAGTGGGAAGTATGGACATTTTTTGGAAGAAGAATGCCGAGGGACAGCTGATAGAAGACGGCTATCCTGTTTGCAGCACGTGCAGCAAAAGTGTCTGTGAAAGGCAGCAACGCTTCAAATCTCATGACACATCTGCGTGACCATCATCCACAACACTACAGTCAACGCAAGGCAAGCTAACGTTAGCGTTTTAGCTAAAATGCGTGATCCGAGGATTTGGGTTGAGGGAGAATGCAACGAGTCGCTATATAAAGCAGCCGCAGCGCCGCTACCTGCATATAAACCGTGTCGCGGACACCCCCATGTTGAAATGACGCTATGCATTACGGGGCTCCCAGGGGCAGATAAGAGTTGGTCTCTCTCCGAGATTAATTATTAATTTAACAACGATTACTGCCTGATGACATGTTCCCACATCTGCAAAGCTCACTGGAAGGACACAAACCGAGGACAATATTTTCCTGATATAGGGTTTATTACTCAAGTAAGAGTAAAAAAGTATCTGATTAGAAGGCTACTTCAATTCAAATTCAAAAATACTTTATTAATCCCAGAGGGAAATTGATTGCTGTAATAGCTAGTGGTGTGCATCTCTACCTGCCTCACGATTCAATCCGATTCCGATTTTCTGCCTAACGATTCGATTTGAGTCTGAAATGCATCACGATTCTTCACACAAAAATTTTCATTACTTAATAAAAGCAGTGGAATAGTTTTCAATTCTTTTTGATTTCGAAATCCCTGAAAAACAGAACATTCATCTATTCACTATAGTGAGCAATAATGTTTAAAGTGTGCTGCCTATAATTACTTCAATAATATAAGAAATAATGTTTTAGGTAGAGCAGCTTTAAGATAGAATATTACTGAACTTAAAAATAGTAAACAAATACTGTGTTAAGTGATTCTTTCACATCCAGGATCCCAAAACAGAAATTAGCCCAGACGTCCGATTTAAATGTAACGGGTACATCTTTGATTACTGGTAATGGTCGCCCTGTATCCCTGTCCAATTGCTTCTAGGACAACGCAGTGCGCATGTCATTGCAACTCTGCCCCCAGAAGTAATACCTCAAAATTTTATTGTCCTCGCATAGACATAGACCAGGGGTCGGCAACCTGTTCCCATCAAAGAGCCATTGTTACCCGTTTCCCACAGTAAAGAAAACACTGCAGCAGCCGCGGCGTTGTGGGCGGGGCCTACCCTCAGACAGCAGCCGGTACCGGTCGGTCGCTGTACGTCAAAGTTATCTTTCATAAGAAGATAATCAATAAAACGATTTATATAAAAGTGATCCAGAAGTTGTAGCCCGTCTCTGCCGTCAATATTTTGATATTTTTCACCCTGTTGGTGGTTTTACTGAGCAGGTGCCACTTTTGTCATACGTTTCTTTTAAAACATGTTTAGACTGTTCAGAATACAAATCCAGGCTCTGTCACGTTTGATTGTTGTAATTAAACTTTGTAGGTGGGGAAGGTCAGAAAAAGATCCGATCATTTTGTTTTTCCCTCATTTACAGTGACGGAGACAACGGCGCGGTGCGCCTGGCTCTGGTGTTAATCAAGTTTAATTTTATCTATTTTCACAAGAAAACAAAACAGTTAAAAGCAGGGCTTGTGTTGTGTTGACCGGATAGTTCCCGTTTTTGACTATTTATTTTGACGGAGAAAGAATAGAAAGACCCCGACGCATGCAGACGAACTGACACTTTATTCGTTTCACACATCACAGATGTAGCTAAATCACTTAAGAAAAGATTCCCATCTGAGCTGGACACTGAGCTCAGCGCAACTCGCTGTCAGCGTGTATGTACGGCGCACAGTGAGCTGAAGAAGTGGAGAGGGGCTTGGAGCACGTCGCAGAACCAGGGCGCATGCGTGAAGATTCCTCCCACTGAAGCGAGACTTGTCACTTAGAAAATGCTCCCTGATTATGAAACTTTGGCTGAATAGCGCTTGTTCCTGTCTCCAATGTGGCGACACATCCAGGATCTGAGGAGAATCCCAGAATCTCACATCCTCGTCAGCTCAGAACACGCATATGATTACGCAAAAGCGTGACGCGTCAACCCGGTCTCACAGTAAGACCGGGTTGGAACTGTTCAGGTTTACGCAGACAATCTTTACATTTAGAATTGGTTTACAGATGTAAAATTAATGCAGTAAAATATAAAGCATTTTATTTAAATATCCATTCATTATTTTACAAGCACAGAGAGCCGCATCAGATGGATGGAAGAGCCGCATGCGGCTCCAGAGCCGCGGGTTGCCGACCCCCGACATAGACATAGGGAGAGAATCTCATTATGTCACGTTGCTGCATCGATGCGGAATCGTGCACGGCTGAATCGCGATGCATCTTAGAATCGATCATTTTTCCCACCTCTAGTAATAGCTCAGAATAATAATAATAATCAAGTCATCAAAGAGTTGTTGTATACAGGGAGTGCAGAATTATTAGGCAAGTTGTATTTTTGAGGAATAATTTTATTATTGAACAACAACCATGTTCTCAATGAACCCAAACAACTCATTAATATCAAAGCTGAATGTTTTTGGAAGTAGTTTTTAGTTTGTTTTTAGCTGTAGCTATTTTAGGGGGATATCTGTGTGTGCAGGTGACTATTACTGTGCATAATTATTAGGCAACTTAACAAAAAACAAATATATACTCATTTCAATTATTTATTTTTACCAGTGAAACCAATATAACATCTCCACATTCCCAAATATACATTTCTGACATTCAAAAACAATACAAAAACAAATCAGCGACCAATTTAGCCACCTTTCTTTGCAAGGACACTCAAAAGCCTGCCATCCATGGACTCTGTCGGTGTTTTGATCTGTTCACCATCAACATTGCGTGCAGCTGCAACCACGGCCTCCCAGACACTGTTCAGAGAGGTGTACTGTTTTCCCTCCTTGTAAATCTCACATTTGATGATGGACCACAGGTTCTCAATGGGGTTCAGATCAGGTGAACAAGGAGGTCATGTCATTAGTTTTTCTTCTTTTATACCCTTTATTGCCAGCCACGCTGTGGAGTACTTGGACGCGTGTGATGGAGCATTGTCCTGCATGAAAATCATGTTTTTCTTGAAGGATGCAGACTTCTTCCTGTACCACTGCTTAAAGAAGGTGTCTTCCAGAAACTGGCAGTTGGACTGGGAGTTGAGCTTGACTCCATCCTCAACCCGAAAAGGCCCCACAAGCTCATCTTTGATGATACCAGCCCAAACCAGTACTCCGCCTCCACCTTGCTAGCGTCTGAGTCGGACTGGAGCTCTCTGCCCTTTACCAATCCAGCCACGGGCCCATCCATCTGGCCCATCAAGACTCACTCTCATTTCATCAGTCCATAAAACCTTAGAAAATCAGTCTTGAGATATTTCTTGGCCCAGGCTTGACGTTTCAGCTTGTGTGTCTTGTTCAGTGGTGGTCGTCTTTCAGCCTTTCTTACCTTGGCCATGTCTCTGAGTATTGCACACCTTGTGCTTTTGGGCACTCCAGTGATGTTGCAGCTCTGAAATATGGCCAAACTGGTGGCAAGTGGCATCTTGGCAGCTGCACGCTTGACTTTTCTCAGTTCATGGGCAGTTATTTTGCACCTTGGTTTTTCCACACGCTTCTTGCGACCCTGTTGACTATTTTGAATGAAACACTTGATTGTTCGATGATCACGCTTCAGAAGCTTTGCAATTTTAAGACTGCTGCATCCCTCTGCAAGATATCTCACTATTTTTGACTTTTCTGAGCTTGTCAAGTCCTTGTTTTGACCCATTTTGCCAAAGGAAAGGAAGTTGCCTAATAATTATGTGCACCTGATATAGGGTGTTGATGTCATTAGACCACACCCCTTCTCATTACAGAGATGCACATCACCTAATATGCTTAATTGGTAGTAGGCTTTCGAGCCTATACAGCTTGGAGTAAGACAACGTGCATGAAGAGGATGATGTGGACAAAATACTCATTTGCCTAATAATTCTGCACTCCCTGTATTACAATAGCTGTTGGCAGGAAGGATCTCCAGTAGCGGTCAGTGTTGCAGCAAAACTGAAGAAGCCTCTGACTGAAGACACTCTTCCGTTGTCGGACAGTCTTGTGAAGAGAATGCTCAGTGTTGTCCATAGTTTTCTTGATTCTCTGAAGAATCCTTCTTTGCATTATCTCCTCCAGTGGTTCCACAACTGCCGAAACTCTGGCTGAGTCCTTGAAAGGGCTTGGAGTTCCTCCATCTTGTTGGCCAGTGATCTCACAGAGATGATTAGAATTTCCTCTTTCTCTGTCTCCGTTTTGCTCCCGCTCTGCACCCACGCTTCTTGCGTTTTAGCTCATTTCGGATGTGTGGCTTCAGTTGAGGTATTATTTCAGCCTTTCCGATGTTAATCAGCTGCTCCCGATTGTAAACCAGTTTGTTGCCATGGTTACACATCATAACAAATGCTCAAAAAGTGAGAAAAGCTAAAAAATAGCAGTAAAAATCCTCCAAGCTTCACAGCACCAGAAAAAGAAAAGTAAAGTGTCCAAAAAATACCGTTTTTCTTGAGAAACTAGAAGGAAAAAATGCCCAAGAAAAGGCAAAACTTACATATAGTCAACAGAGCTACTCCAACATGCAGCCGCCCAGAGCAGCACAGTTCTGGAAAAAGTCCCGGAAAATTTCGTTTCCGGAAAAACGATATCGAGATATCGTTAAGCTGACTCTCCAGAACTGGAAGCACTCGCTTCAATGGTGGTTCTGGTGCATAGTCCCGTGACCCGTAGTCACAGATGAGCTCTGGTTTTTCATGCCAAGAAGTGGTTTAAACGTCTCCGTCAGCAAGTTTGTGCTCAAACGCTCATATATTGTTGTGTGTCTCCACACCGATGCAGACGGAGAAGTGTAAACCAGCATTTAGACGTAATAAAGCACAAACAGGAGCTGAGAGACGGCAAGCCAACTCACTGGGGCCATCAATCTCCATAATGTCTTTAGATGTATCTGATTATTAAATGTGCTTTTTTTTATTGCTGCATTAATCTGAATTTTCATTTGTCTTTTAGCCTGTCCAAAAGTCTCACAGCATCACGTCTCTGAAAAGGAGGAGGTTCTTACTGACCAGCAGCTCTGTGGCCAGGAGAGGATCTCCAGTTTGGACCACGAACACTCAGAACCTTCACTGATGAAAGAGGAAGAGCAGGAACTCTGCATCAGTCAGCCTGAAGGACAGTTCACTGTGAAGCAGGAATATGTTACCTTCATGGTGACTTCTCCTTCTGAGGAAACAGATGGCCATGAAGCAGAACCAAACTGCAGCCAAACCTTTTGTCAGATTTCTTCTGAAGCTGAGAGCCAAGATCAGGATGGATGCAGGAATGAGAACTCAGAATCAAACTGCGATAAAGAACTGACTCAAAACAAAAGATGTATACAAACTGAAGATCACAGAAACGGTGTAGGCAGTCCCAAACTAAAGAGGCCCATAAGTGCTCCTGGAGGTGAGGGGCCACTGTCATGTACAATCTGTGGGAAATGTTTCAGTCCGAGTTGTTTAGCTCGTCACATGAGAAACCACACAGGTGAGAAGCCACGCTCACGTAAGAGCTGTGGAAAAGGTTTCATTCAAAAAACCAATCTCCTGTCTCACATGAGAACTCACACAGGTGAGAAGCTGTTTCCATGTGAAACTTGTGGTAAGTGTTTCTCTCGGAGTAGTGTATTGACGATTCACATGAGAACTCACACAGGTGAGAAGCCGTATTCATGTGAAACCTGTGGTAAGTGTTTCTCTCAGAGTAGTCACTTGACTAAGCACATGAGAACTCACACAGGTGAGAGGTCTTTTCCATGTTTGATCTGTGGAAGAAGATTCCGCCAGACAACTTCTTTAACTTCCCACATGAGAACTCACTCCTGAAAAGTTGTTGATTTTCCTCAGAAAAGGAGCTCAACTCACATAACTCTCAGCTCAGAGTTACGTGTTTAAAACATTTAAAGGTAGAACACGAACACCAAAGCAACGTCTAATGTGTGGCTGTTGTAGTCGCAACAATAGAACACGGTTTCCAGCTGTGGGGTGCCAGGTTCAATGCCGATACGTGAAATGTTTTATTTGGGTCCATCTGTTGTAGCTTCACCTAAACTCACTCTGGTTTTAGATCTTTTATGGTTGCTCTTCTTCTGAGAAGGATAACAACATCTTCTGGGCTCAGAGTCCGCCATTTTCCACAGTGCCAGCCTCGCTGTGCCGAGGGGACTGTTTGGTAACCCGTAATAGTGCCCTCTATTGGCACTAAACCCAGTGGTATGCCCGTCAAAATTAATGTTTGATTAATTTTGATTAAAATATAGCTTTTAAATTAAACACTGTACCTTCATTCTGCACACCTCTAAACGCCCCGTGGAGGTATTATTAAAAAAATATATATAGCTTTTTATTAAACTGTTCCATATTCAACCTTTAACAAAGTGTTCACTTCGTAACACAGTAGCTTAGATCACAATCATGATGATGGTGCAGATCAGCAACTGAAAAATGTTCTGTTTAAAATAACTGATTGAGCACTGCATGCTGACACTAGACCTGACTGCTGTCTGTCACAAAAAGCCACCGCTGACCGTGATGGACCACGGAGGGAACACCAACTTCTCTGTGGTCCGCCACCATTGGGCCATGCTCATCCTTCTGCACAGCCCCAGATGTCTTATTGCTCCAAACTTCTCTGGGCTCGCACTCTTACCTCACTATTGTTCAAGCTGCTCAACAACAGCCAAGTCTCTCCATTCCTAGATCCATGTTTGAAGTAGAACTTCATGAGTTCAGATAAACCGGACATTTTCTCATAGCATAAATATATGTTATGTTCCAGCAATAAAGGGTATTATGGGTGGATGGTGGCTCAAGGGCCCTGTAACCCGAGGTTGCTGGTTCAAAACCAGGCTTCGTCAGTGTCAGTCATTGTGTCCTTGAGCAAGACACTTCACCCTCCTTACCTGCTGGTGGTGGTCAGAGGGACTAGTAGCGTGTGTGTACAGCAGCCTCACCTATGATTGAATGCCCCAGGGCAGCTGTGGCTACATTGTAGCTCACCACCACCAGTCTGTGAATGGGTGAATGACTGCAGTGTAAAGCACTGTAGAGTCGCTTCAGTGAACTTGAGTATTTAACGAGGTGTTTGTTTTTAAGGTGTTGGACTAGGTCTAAACGCAGACTAGCGATTCACTTTGGTGACGCCTGTAGGAAAAGTCTGAAATCAAAAAGGGAGGAAGCATGTTGAGGTATAAGGTTGGTCAGCTGCCATGCTCAGTTTAAATGTGCTTTATAAATAATTACAGTGTGGTCTTTGTAGTGTTGAATGCTGCTCTGTCTTTTCCACAACGTGAAGTTCCTGCTATGAACACATTGCAAGTGGCCGTTGCACTGCCTTTGCTGTCCTGCTTAAAATACATCCACACTGCAGTCTCCTCAGGAAACACGTTAGCCTGCTAGTCAACAGGCAGGGTTAGGGTGTTGTTGCCCATCCATCCATCTTCTGAACCCGCCTTGTCCACGCGGGGGGGGCTGATGCCTATCTCCAGCAGTCAATGGGCAATCAGGCGGGGTACACCCTGGTCAGAGATCCAGTCCATCGCAGGGCAAACAGAGACACACAGGACAAACAACCATGCACACACACACACTCACACCTAAGGACAATTCAGACAGACCAATTAACCTAACAGTCGTGTTTCTGGTGTTGTTGCCCATGAAACAAATATTAGTGTGGAGAAGCTTGTTAAAATTAAAACAAAATCTCTATCTCAAGATGAATTTGTAAGTTTATGTCTGAATTTACCCTGATTTCAGATCCTTTGAAATCGTGATAAAGCCCGATTTTTGATCATGTGTTTGGATTGGTGCATCTCTAGTTGTAACATGAAAACTTTATTGTTCAAACAATATAATTAAAACATTTGTACAAAAGATTATTGCGTTTTTAAGTGGATACTACACTCTGAAGGGTAATTTAATCTGTGGCCATATTCCCCAGAGTTAGATAAGTGGGGTAAAGCATTTTGGAACGAACCCAGTCATTCTCCTAATCTGGCAGTATTCTGTTAGCTTTGGCTTAGCATAAACAATGCAAGTGAAAGGTGACAACTAGCAATTTGTGTGAAAAATTCATGAAAATGATGCTAATTTGTTCTCGGTGACCTCAATAATCATGACTGTTGCAAATGGAAGTAATAGGCAATAAGAAGGAATTACAGGAGCTGATTTAGGCTTGAGACTACATGATGACAAATCACTGAACCGCTGCTGCAAGGTGTAAGGACATGATGCAAAACGCACCCAAATCTTGTCGTTTACTGCCAGTAGTGTGAAATGTAGTAAATGTTATACAGTAAACCTAATGACAGTGAGTTTTGGGGTCAAAGTCTCCCTGCCGTGGACGTGTCTGACTTTAAATTGGCTTTACTAAAGGAGGTATATTGGCTGATTCTGATATATAAAAGATGGTAAATATGAGGCTTGAAATATTGGCCAACAACATGATGGGAGAGAGGATGTCAGCGAGCGCGGGAGACAGAACGTGGTGGACAGTGTTTGTTTATGTCCAGAGTTCATTTAAAGTTTACTACATTAATAAAAATTGATGGGTTATGTCATGACTCGAGGTAAGTGCCTAACCGAAGACATGCAGAATCAGACTCGTCGAGCAGGTTGAGTAAAGAGAAAAGGTCTTTATTCAAAAACGGGAGCAAAAATAGCACAGGGAATTCCTGTGGGAGTGAGCGGTGCAGCTCGAGTCCTTGTAGCGCTTGGGGTGAACGAGGGAGGAGGGGAAGCCGAGGTGAGCGCTGGGCAGAGGGTGAGCGATCCGGGATGGGTGAGGTAGCAGAGAGGCACCTAACAGGAACCAAGGAGGAGGATGGGACGTGGTGCATGAAATCTTGAGTTCGAAGACAGCGAGGGTGAAGCAGGTGGTGTGAGGATCCTGAGGGAAGGGAAACAAACACCAGACGTAAGGGGTAATCCAAACGTAATCCACAAAAACAGTCTGAGATCAAAAACCAGGTAATCCAAGAGCGAGTCAAAGCGAACAAATGAGTAAAAGAACAAGTGGCTGGGGCTACCTAAACTGGTGCAATCATCCAGCGTTGTGAGGTGTCTCCATCCTCGTTTTAAACCCGAGTTCCTGATTGGAATCTCCAGCAGCTGCCGCCCCCACCGCTCCTCACCTGTGGGAAATCAGCTCAATCACAGAGTGGAGATGGTGTCGCTCACCTCGGCTCGGGAACATGACAGGTTAATGTTCTGTCCTAAACTTTGCACTCAGCTTTGTGGGTTTTTTTTTAGGGGGACTTTGAAAGCGTGGCAAGCAATCCTGTATATGGAAATATAGTAGTTTGCAAAAGTGTTAGGCAGGGGTGAAAGTAGCTGTGAACAAATCATTTCAAAAATGGAAGTATTAACCATTTATTTTGATAAATTAAACAAAATTAATCTAGAATCCTCTCCATAAAAGTTAACAGAATTTGTGACAAAGGGCAGCCTTGGTGGAGTCCAACTGCCACCAGAAAGGAGCCCGGCTTACTGCCGGCAATGCAGACCGAGCTCTGACACCAGTTGTACCTAACAGCCTGATACCCCATACTCCCAGAGCACCCTCAAGTAATGTGGTCAAATGGCCAAGATGAAAACCACATTGCTCCTCCTGAATCCAAGGTTCGTCAATCTGACTGACTCTCTTATCCAGAACCCCTGAATAGATACCAGGGAGGCTCAGAAATGTAGTTGGAACACACTCTGCTGTCCCCTTTTTAAGATAGGGGGACCACCACCCCATCTGCTGATCCAACTGCCCCAAGGGAGTAGGAACGAGTTTAATATTGGGGGGGGGGGACACATTTTGGAAATCTAACAAATCTGTTGTAGGTCAATATATAGGTCAACCTCACTGAAAAAAATACATTTAATGATTATTTCTGATTCTAACGTGTCACTGAGTGTTTCATGCAGGCTGAACATGAACATAGTCTCCTACCGCTATCTCCTGCATTAGCTTCTGATAGAAAATCTGATAGACGGTGAAACTCTAGGATTAGAAAAGTCTGACAGATGTGACTCAGGGCGTAAGGCAAAGCCCAGAAAGACAAGAAAATAACTTTTATAGCCCAGTTCACTAACAGTCTGGTTTTTTTTTTTTTTTGATCGGGGACCCATGAACCAGCCAGAAGGGGAGGAGACTTAGGCTCCCCATGAGCCAGATCCAGGTGATTACCGGCCAACGTGGACGTTTTAATTATAAAAAAGCTGTTTATGTGTCAGTACTGTTTTATTTTTATGTAATAATATGAATGTAGGATATATTATCTTATTCATATGGGTAGAGATGTGTAAACAGATTTAATACGAGACTAAAGCTGTGAATATTCAGTCTGAACTGATCTGACTCTCATCAGAATATTTTAAACTACATCAGCCAACAACGCTGACCAACAATCAGAAAAATCTGTTTGCTTCAGACAGAATGAAAAAAGAAATAATTCATTCACAACAACAGCTGGAACTACGTTAATTTTCAGATGGACAACAGAAAAAAACAGTGGCCAAAATTGCAGTCTAAATGCACCAGAATGCAGAGTTTAACACTTATTTTTCTAATATTTCTAAGGAAGCGTGTACAGAATGTAATTTATTCTTAACCCGTACTGTCCAGCCTACTTGTTATGAGATTACATATATTTAACTGTGTTCACTTATTATCACATTCAAATCTTCCTCTCATCAGCAACCTAAAACCATCTCATTCTTCACTGTAGCACCTACCTGCACCATAGCAGGTCTGGCTCTCCCTGTCTCACCCTCGGCAGGTCTGGCTCTCCCTGTCTCACCCACAACTGGTCATCTGATCTCTAAAAACAGTGGACAGGAATAAGGAGTAAAATACTGTTGGACGACTAGTGTAACATTAAAATCATGGTTGTTATAGTATTATTTAGTCGTGTTCACTTGTTATCATGCTCGAATCTTCCTCTCATCATCAACCATCTAAAATCTCACTCCACTGTAGCACCTACCTGCACCTCAGCAGGTCTGGTGCTGCCTGTCTCACCCTCAGCAGGTCTGATGCTCCCTGTCTCACCCTCAGCAGGTCTGGTGCTCCCTGTCTCACCCTCAGCAGGTCTGGCGCTGCCTGTCTCACCTTCTTCATCATTTTCCAGCTGAACTTCCTCTGGTCTCTTATTTGAAAAGAGTGACATGAATAAGGTTTAAAAATGAAATGTGACGAGAATGTCACAAACAAGCAACAATCACACTTAAAAACTCCATTTTTATGTGGAGATTCTACTTTTTTATTAATTTCGTGTCAAATGGTTTTTGTCTGTTACTGTAAAACTCGCCATTTTTTGTTGACTAGTAGTGTTGTTTAATGTTTAATGCTAACTAGCAAGATGTTGACGTTAGTCAGCCAGTCTAACGTTTGACCAGAAACGTCAAATTATTACAAACTCACAATTCCTTTCTTTCTTTTTTTGCCCATGAGAAGAACTCACTGAGCTGCTGCTGTCTGTCTCTGACTCCTGCTTCACTCAGCCAGCCTGTCTGACTCCCTGAGGGGAGGGGCTGTGTCGGAGAGAAGTCTGCGGTGTCTTTCAAAATAAAAGCTCGCAAGTCAAATGTTTCAAAATCAATCTTTTTCTTCTCCATGTTATTGGGAGGTACAAATGCACGGTTGTCCAATATTGGAGGGGACACGTCCATCACCCCCCCCCCCCCCCCCCACGGTTCCTACGCCCTTGAACTGCCCCCAATGTCCACGCAACATTGCAGAGCCACGTCAACCAACACAGCCCCACAGCATTCAGAGCCATAAGGAAATCCGGTCAGATCTCATCCACCCCCGGAGTCCTGCCACCAAGGAGTTTTTCCACCTCAGTGTGGTGGATAGGATTGGACAGTAGTGATGGGAATTCCGAAAAAGAGCCGGTTCTTTTGGCTCAGCTCACCAAAAAGAGCCGGCTCTTTCAGCTCCCAAGTGGCTCCTCAGATTTTCTGTTGCGTAGAGTGCATTTATAACCAAAATAATGCTAAACATATGTAAAATAATTTACTAATGTAAAAAAAAAGCAATATATCAAATATTTATCATTTCTATGGATTTAATAACTGAACACTTCAAGGAATCTCCACTTTCCGACTGCTGGCGCTCATTTTCTCGCCGTCTTTGTCGCACTCTCCTCCCTCTCGCTCGCCTTTTTCCTCCTCCTCATTCCCTCTCGTCTCCCTCCACCCGCATGTGCTCTGCTGTGTGTCAGTCTGAGTCTGATCCTCCCTCTTCCCCGCCCCTACTGCTCTGTGTGTGGACAGTCTGGACACACAGTTGACTAATCGCCTGTAGCTTTCACCAAAGCAGGGGGGGAGGGGACGGCTCCCAATGATGAGCCGGCTCCCGTCGTTCACTTCAAAGAGCCGGCTCTTAGAGCCGGTTCGTTCACGACCGACACATCACTATTGGACAGGATTCTTAAGCGCAGCCAAGGTGGCGAGGGGATACGTTCAGGATCAGGTCTCTGCTTTTTGCAGATTATGTGGTCCTGTTGGCTTCATCAGACCATGAACTCTGGCTTTTGATGGAGCAGTTCACTGCCGAGTGTGAAGCAGCTGGGATGAAAATCAGCTCCTCTAAATCCGAGACCATGGAGTTGAATCAGAAACGGATAGAATTCCTTCTCCGGGGCCATGGATGAGGACCTGCCCCAAGTGGAGGAGTTTAAGTATCTTGGAGTAATGTTTACAAGTGAGGGAACGATGGTTCGAGAGACTGACAGGCAGATTGGTGCTGCATCTGCAGTGATGTGGGCATTCCCGACCAAGTATTGAGTGCATAACTGAACATAATTATTTGAAGGTTGAATTTTTTGTATTAAAAACACTTTTCTTTTATTGGTCGGATGAAACGTGCTATTTTTTTGAGATAGGAATTTTGGGTTTTCATGAGCTGTATGCCAAAATCATCAATATTAGAAACAATAAAAGGCTTGAACTACTTCAGTTGTGTGTAATGAATCTAATATGAAAGTCTAATGTTTATCAGTACATTACAGAAAATAATGAACTTTATCACAACATGCTAATTTTTTTAGAAGTACCTGTACATGTTATCCATCCTCTGGATGCATTTTAGGCGCTAACGTGCATTAGTGGTGTTATCCCCATGTGAATTCTGCATTTTACATCAATATTTACAATAATGTGTCAGAAAAAAGACTTCACAAAAACAAAAATACGCTATTGTCCAAAAGGAACAAAAAGGTGAATGAACACATTCTCAAAATGAAACTGGTTTGACTGGGTGTGGTCGATCTGAAAAACCATTCCAGTCAGTCACATTTCATCTAAGATAAAACCTGTTCAAACCAGTTAGGCGTTTGTGCATATCAATACTTTAACTTGCATCTTAGCTAGCTTTTATATGAAACACATCATCTTACGTTATATACACATGTATAAAAATATAAAGAATACACTCATGATCTATTCAAAAGATGTTTATTTACAAAGCTGAGTATGTTCATGTTTACACCAGATTTAACCATGTGATCACTGAGCACACACACACACACACACACACACACACACACACACACACACACACACACACACACACACACACTTTTAGTCTGAATCACTGCTGCTGCTGGATGAGTCGGTGGACATGGCCTCCACATCATCCTCGTTCTCCTTGTTGTGACCGGGGGGCTCCAAGCCGAAGTCATTACCATGGTGAGGAGGCAGCATCCCAACAGAGACGTCTGAAGATTGCCATGGGTAGTGAGGTGTCAGGACATCTGGGAGACAAAACAGAAGGATGTACTGAATCTGATGAGGACGTAATTAGGGCCCGACCGATATGCTTTTTTTGGGACCGATACGATATAAAACTTTTAACAAAGGCCGATAGCCGATATAATGGCCGATTTATCTCCCCCACAAAAAAAAGAAATAAAAATGTTCTTAAGCTTAAACCCTTCATTCTCTGTCTTTTTGATGCAAACTTATTTCTCTATTACACACCAAAGAACTGTCTCCATAACTCACTAGGGGTTCCAAGTAATGCAAATAAGATTTATTTAGCAGATCTCAAAAACAACAGAACACACAAACTCAGTCACAGCATAAATCTAACATTCAAGTTTTTCTTGTAAACTGTGGTTTCCACTAATACATTTTAACTTAAAGGAACATTCCATCACTCAGTAAAGTTGTGTCTTGTTAAGATTCCCCAGAGTTAGACAAGTCAGAAAAAGCATTTTATAACAGCCCAATATGATCTGTTCCGTGTGTCTGCGTGTTTAGCATAAAACAATGTAAGTGAATTCACACACATTGTAGTGTTTTTATGTAGGTGAATGCAAGCCTTCCCTTCCATTGCTTTATGCTAAAACAACTGGTTACAACATGTTTTTTCTGACTTGGTTAACTCTGGGGAATCTAACAACACACAAGTTTAGGGACAGAAGATCCCTATAAGAATATTAAAATAATAAAAATGCAGCAATAAATAAAACGTAATACTTGTGCTTCGTAACAAAGTAACACTCTGTGGAAGTTAACTTGGTGAAGTATTCACAAAACTTATTCATAAAGCTGGCGCCATCTGCTGGGTAGGTAGCGCAATATCAGCCATATCAGCCGACTTTTTAGCCGATAGCCGATACTGTTAATGACCCCAATATCGGCCGATAATATCAGCAGGTCGATATATCGGTCGGGCCCAAGACTAATGGTGAGACGGTTGTCCCGTGGTTTCATATATTTGAAATGCATCTTTCCAGGTCTTGTTTATGCATCGATGTGGTGAAACTTTACACAGCTAACACAGATCCACCTCTGGATATTAGGAAAATAATACTTTATAGGTTATATGGATCTGCCCTATTGATGTTTGATCAAAGGAAAAGTGCTTCAGCTGCTGGTTGGAATTTATTAAGAATCTAAAGGAAGTTTCCCCAAAATTCAGTGAAACGTGTATTTAAAGAGCATTTTATTCATCTTTCCCTGATAAACACAAACCATTGCAACTGTGAGTTCTTGTTTTTCCCCCCATTTTTGCTGCATTACAGTGTTAAAATCCATCCTTCTACACTCATCTCCTCCCGTCTGGATTAGGCTAACTCAGCTCAGATCCTACATGACTCTTATGGGTTTTTCTTGTTCTTTTTTGATTGCTTTCTGTAACGGTCACTTTCATTTAGACAAAAACATGTTATAAGTGTGTTTGTTTCTGACCACAACCAAAGTGTGGGAACTGAAGAAGCTTCTGGGATGAGAGGCTAAATGTCTCCAACATAACCAGAAAAGTCCAGCTGTTTATAACTGAAACCATCAGGATGATCATGTCCAGGATGACTGAGTCGACACCTCCGTGCTGCAGCAGCATTCAGTCAGAACAAAAAGTGAAGCTTGAATGTAGCTGCTGTCAGTAACAATCTAACAGATTTAAACATTAAAACTCACACCAGATTAAATAGTTCAAAAAGGAAATAAAAAATGTCACAACTGTGTGTTGTGACATTTTTTATTTTTATATTATTATCCCTGTGGGCTACAGTGGGCATAACCCGGTGTGGTCCACCAGAGAGAAAGCTCTGCAGGCGACAGACAGCTGGTGTGTTCAGCTCTGAAAAGTGCCGATCAGAATTTGCAGATCACGTTTGTTTTTCACGGAGGTCAGCTGCGAATTCCTCTTCCGGTCAGGATCTAGGAATTGAAATAAAAAACTGAGCGTTTTTGGTTCTTTTTAAAACACAGGAAAGGTTTCTGTGTTTTAAAAAGAACCAAAATGTTATTAGAAACTAGACACAGTAACAACACACCAAAGAAACTTTGAGCGTTTCCGGGAAAAACTCACTCCTGGTCCCGGTTCCCATCGATGCTCGATGCCCAACTCTACAGTTAAGTCACTCCAATGTTTTAGTTGTTATAAAAGACAGTTTATACAGCTTATCTTGGCTTCTATTTCATCTATTTTTCAGCTGATTGTTTTAGTGTTTGTACATTTTCCATCTTTTGTTATTTAGTCTCAATGTTATTTTTCTCTTTTTATGCTAAATTTTGAAATGTTTTTGATGCTTCATCTCATTAAAAGTGCTGGATTTGTTCCGTGTAAGCATCTTTGGTCTTCTGCCATGCTACTTTTATACATGCTATATAAATAAAGATGGTATGGAACAAGACACATTCTGAAGTGTCAGTATAAAACAAAACCAGTCTTCATAAAGACCTGAACTTACGCGGCACTCAAGTGTTTTAATTCTGCTCTTTTTAACTTACCTGGTAACCGTCCTGCAGCCAGAGCATCACCTGGCAGGTGTCCGTTCACACCGTTGGATGGCAGGTTTGCCATGTGACCCAGCATCCCGCTGCGCATTTCCAGGTCGGTGGGATAAGGTCTGCGTGGATCTCCTGTCACCAACGTTTGGATGGTGTGTTAATGAAGTCAAACCTGCCCTCTACTGACAGCCAGTGGGAACTGCAGGGGCCTCCAGCTCCTACCTGGCACCCAGTTGAGTGGAGCACACACGGCGTTGCTGGCACTGATTCGGTGAGCGTATTTGATGATTTCCTCTGATGAAATGCTTCCTGCAATTAAAAACTCAAAATCAAGACAAATGAAAGAAAAACAAGAACAAGACAGACTTCATTAGTGTGTGTGTGTGTGTGTTCCATGTGTGTGTGTACGTGTGTGTGCGCGCGTGTGTGTTACGTGTGTGTGTACGTGTGTGTTTCGTGTGTGTGTGTGTGTGTGCGTGCGTGTGTGTGTTCCATGTGTGTGTGCGTGTGTGTGCCTGCGTGTTACGTGTGTGTGTGCCTGCGTGCACGTTTGTGTGTTCCGTGTGTGTGTGTGTGTGTGTGTGTGTGTGTGTGTGTGTGTGTGTGTGCGTGCGTTCCATGTGTGTGTGTGTGTGTGTGCGTGCGTTCCATGTGTGTGTGTGTGCGTGCGTGTGTGTGTTCCATGTGTGTGTGCGTGTGTGTGCATGCGTGTTACGTGTGTGTGTGTGTGCCTGCGTGCACGTTTGTGTGTTCCGTGTGTGTGTGTGTGTGTGTGTGTTCCATGTGTGTGTGCGTGTGTGTGCATGCGTGTTACGTGTGTGTGTGCCTGCGTGCACGTTTGTGTGTTCCGTGTGTGTGTGTGTGTGTGCATGCGTTCCATGTGTGTGTGTGTGTGTGTGTGTGTGCGTGCGTTCCATGTGTGTGTGTGTGTGTGTGTGTGTGTGTGTGTGTGCGTGCATGTGTGTGTTCCATGTGTGTGTGCGTGTGTGTGCATGCGTGTTACGTGTGTGTGTGTGTGTGCCTGCGTGCACGTTTGTGTGTTCCGTGTGTGTGTGTGTGTGTGTGTGTGCGTGCGTTCCATGTGTGTGTGTGTGTGTGTGTGCGTTCCATGTGTGTGTGTGTGCGTGCGTGTGTGTGTTCCGTGTGTGTGTGCATGCGTGTTACGTGTGTGTGTGCCTGCGTGCACGTTTGTGTGTTCCGTGTGTGTGTGTGCGTGCGTGCGTGTTCTGTGTGTGTGTTCCATGTGAGTGTGTTCCGTGTGTGTGTGTGTGTGTGTGTGTTCCTCACCTTTCCGGGCTTTTTCTATAGACTTAAGTTTCTCTTTTGCCTGGTAAACAGCGGTGGCCTTAAATAAAAGAACAAGGGAACCAAAAATCATTTGAGGAAAGAAAACACTCAGATTTAAAGAATGATGTGTTTGTGAGTTTCTACTAATTATTCATGTTGACCAAAACCAGCAGCGTTGGTGGAGACTTCACACAAACCCACTCTGAAGCAGCAGCTGCTCCACCCTTCTCCATGACAGCTTCATGCTTTTGTTTGGTTTGTAAATTCCCATCAGCTATTGTAAAAGTTCAGTCTTTAAGCAGTTTACAAACAAGCAGCAGCACACAGCTGCAGGAATGGAATGCAGCTCATACAGATGGTGCTAAATCATATCACCGCATTGCAATTCCTACAACAAACCTACTAGTATGTGTTCGGCCTCCTTCAGCTGCTTCTGGAGCTGCTGGATGTCGCTGTCTCTTTTCTCCACCTCCTTCTCCAGCAGCTGCATCTCCTGGTGAACCTTCCCCTGCTGCTGGGCCACCTCCATCAGCTCCTGGAACTCCGTGTCCCTCTGCACCAGCAGATCAATGATCTAGATGGGAAAAACAGATTGCAAATGTTACATCCAAATTCATATTCAAAGGATAACCAGTTAACAGCCATGGCATGTCTAATCAGCAGACTTTGCTGCATCATTATAGACACCAGTGTACCTCAGATCTTCCAGGAAAAGTGATTCCAACAATAACAATAATAGGTAGTAGTTGAAATGTAAACACTCAAAAATGAAAAGGCAGCAGAAAAAAAATGCCAAAAATACAACAACGTCAAATAAAACCAATACAGAAATCAAACATCATCTCATTATGAGGAATATAACATCAAATCTGCACGGAGAAGTAAAAAGTGTCTCCTGAGGGTACCTGAACATACTGTGAAAGGCAGAAGATGGGATTTGCCAGATTCTGGGGGCGTGGCAACTAGACGCCGGCTGGTGCTTGTCAGGTGTGATGAGGCCGGAGATGATAAAAGGGTGGCAGATCTACCAAGGTGTGTGTGTGTATGGTCGACCTGTCATTGTGACACCCGGTTCTGGGGGGTGGGATCGTTCGCAGTTGGTTAGGACTGCCGGCGATGAAGACAGCTGAGTAGGTGGGCAGTGTTCCAGTGCTAGGACGGGAGGCTTGACGCCTTCTTTAGGTAGCGAGGGCTGGGAGTATTTGGGTGCCGAGACCACGCCGACATCTGCCACAGCAAACTCTGGCAGCCGGACCCGAGCCATGGACTCACCTGCCGTCCACGCAAGCTGAACCCCGGGGCGTTGGACGGTGTTGGAAGCTCAGACCCCGGGGAGGGGGTCGCATCGACTGGGCCAGCTAAGTACCTGATTGTTTGATTTTACTTATGCTGAACAGCTGGTTTTGTCTTAAAGGGACAAGAGGCAGTAGCCGACGAGTTCCACAGCGGAACTCGCCCGTGGTGTTTTATTATTCAGTTGTGCTAATAACGGGTATTTTTGATCATTTCTGCCTACTGGTGTTGTTTTAGGTTCTGACTGGAGGGTAAGACTTTCTGCCAGCGCACCCACTGAAACTTATATTAAAATACTTTACATAGAAGTAGGGTTGTCATGGTAACCGGTGTAGCAGTGAACTCTGGGGAAAAAAGTTGACAATAATAATAACCGCCTTGTTTTTAAAAAAACTATATTATCTCGGTGATTACAGTGGCTGCGGTGACCCTTACCAGCCACCGTATCATCTGCTGAAGTTGCCGGCGGCACATGCGCGCTTTGTTGTTTACAACCAAAACTTTCTTGAAGCTAAAGCTGAAATAATGGCCAAAGGAGGAGACGGCAGCGCTCAGGACATTTATTATCCCTCAAAGAAGACAAAGGGGGAAGTACGGGCATCTTTTGGATATTTGAAGAATGCCGAGGGAGTTGATAGAAGACGACTATCCTGTTTGCAGCACGTGCAGAAAAAGTGTCTGTGAAAGGCAGCAACGCTTCAAATCTCATGACACATCTGCGTGACCATCACCCACAACTCTACAGTCAACGCAAGGCAAGCTAACGTTAGCGTTTTAGCTAAAATGTGTGATCCGAGGATTTGGGTTGAGGGAGAATGCAACGAGTCGCTATATAAAGCAGCCGCAGCGCCGCTACCTGCATATAAACCGTGTCGACGCGGACACCCCCATGTTGAAATGACGCTATGCATTACGGGGCTCCCAGGGACAGATAAGAGTTGGTCTCTCTCCGAGAATAATTATGAATTTAACAATGATTACTGCTTGATGACATTTTCCCACATCTGCAAAGCTCACTGGAAGGACACAAACTGAGGACAATATTTTCCTGATATAGGGTTTATTACTCAAGTAAGGGTAAAAAATATCTGATTAGAAGGCTACTTGAGTGCTGAGTATCATCTGATCTAATATTTTTTAAATAATGACATCAAACAGACAACAAATAAGAAGTTATGGGCAAATATTGATACTTTAAAGACTAAAGAGGAAAAATGTAAACAAATAAACAACATAATTACACAATAACACATTTTAGACAAAATTTAGACACAAACTGAGGACAATATTTCCTGACATACAGGGTTTATTTAGTTGTCTGAAAATGTAGCACGTTTAAAAAAATACCGCGATAATACCGAAAACCGTGATAATTTTGGTCACAATAACCGTGAGGTTAAATTTTCACACCGTGACAACCCTACATAGGAGTGGTGTATGATGAACTATTTATGATCAGATCAAACAGGACATAAATGCTATGGAACCGGTTTTGTTCCAATTTTCAACATAATATGTTGCCATAGCACCACAGAGATGGAATTAAAGAAAATTAAATATTCCCCGAAATACGGGAAACATTCAGGATTGAGCACGTAAACTGAGCTTAGGCTCTGCCCGTGTTCTAATCAACACAGAAATGTATCTGTAACTGCTGGACTCTGATATTTAAAGAGCAAGTATCGTCTAAATTAACTTTTTTTTTGCTGACTTTTTTTTTTGCTGATGAACTGTATAAATGAGTGTCTAATAGTGTTTTAAATGTGTGTATTCATTATTTTAGCATTTTGGTGCATTTTCTTTAAAACTTAAAAATTCTGCCTAAATACCACAGTATAGCGCCACCTTCAGCTTAAAACATAGAGTTTGAGACATTTTGAATACACTTTAGCCAATGGCTGAAGAGAAAGATACTACGTAAACCAGTAGAGTACTACGTAGCAGCTCTGTGTCAAAGTTATAAAGCATCGAGAGTGTAATCCAACAGCCTTGGATCTGACTCCAGACCTGCTCCTGACCGTTACCTGCGTGTCGTCTCCGGGCTGAGGTAGCTTCTGAGATCTGGACAGAGCCAACATCTCGATCAACTCCCTGAAAATACACAGACAGACAGACAGACACACACACACACATAAAGAGAAGGGTTATATGTTGCCCGTTATAATAAAGGTTGCAAAAGACCCAGAAACACTGAACCATCTTTTACTTTCAGAGTAATCACCAGGAACTCTAGATCGGAACCGATGCCAACAGCTGAATAACGTGATCGATAATAAAATGACATCAGCTTAAAATATTAAATAAATAAACAAGAACGTTCTAATTATTTTTAATTTTACCGTGATAAAACCTCCAAGTCGTCCAACACAGACAAAAGTCTTTCTTTCGTTGATTTCTCCGCCACGGCCGCCATTTTCGGATCGCGCGGTCGGACCGGATGTTACGTCTCGTTCCGTTTCCTGTTGTGAAATTAGAGCCAGAGTTGCGACACTGCGGCCACGTGGTTCAGGGAGCTCTCAATAGTTCCAAACATCCCAGCGCCGTACGTCAGTTTGAACGGTGTACGGTGGGCAAATCACAAAAACTGAATATAGTCACATTGCCCCTGGTGATTTTAGGTAATTATTGAATATGGCCTGTATTTGATATACAGTATTATATAATAATATAATAATATATAATATTATATATATTATATTATATACTGCGATGGACTGGCTCTCTGTCCAGGGTGTCCACCGCCTGATTGCCTATTGCCCCCCCCCCCCCCCCCCCCCCCCCCCCGGACAAAGTGGGTTCGGACAATGGTTGGATGGATTATATATTATGTCCTAATTCCTTCACAAAGGAGCCTATTTATATTTTTCCAAGCATTTGTAGGAAGACCGACACCCTTGACTGTTCTACGTTACAGGAATACAACAGTCCTAACACATTTAGACCACATACATTACTGTAATATGTTATAGAAATAAATTTGATGTAGTGTACACACTGCTCTACTAAAAGCATATTTAATAACTTTAAGTCCTACAAGAAGCCCTAAACTCGAGTTGTAATATCCATTTTAAAGTGGTTTATTGAAAGCTAGAATTCTGCTCCAGCTTACCTTGAAGAAATATGTAGCTGTTTATGTTTTGAATGATGATCTATTATGTTCAGTAGAATACATTTTACAGTCATTACTTTATATTTTTATGTGAAGACAGTACATGCATCCATGGATGTAATTTTCACTTGAGAAGTGGGGGGGGGGGGGACACGGGGGGGGGGGATCTTTACAGTATGCTGTAATGGGAAACAGGTTTCAACACAAACGGCTGTTTTCCGCTTGGTGTTAGAGCTCAACCAGTGTCAATTTAATATAGCGTAATATTGTTTTTGGATGGTAAAAAGTACAGGGGTCAAAACTTGATTTTGGAAAAAGTGGGGGGAACATGTCAGGGACATGTCCCCCCATTCCCCTCCCAAAATCACGTCCATGCATGCATCTATAACCCAGTTTATCTGGCTACTATAGCTACTAATTAAAAAGAAAAGTTCAATAAAACTGTATGGTCAAACACAGTAGATAATAGTGTGTTAATTGTGAAAAAATGAACACCAAATTTGTACAACATGTATAATAGCAGTTTTAATAAAGCATTTTACCAACATTATGTTTAGTCATTACAAATGCGCAAATAAGCTGAATCATTAATTATGAGCAATTTACTCAAGACCTAATGAAACTATTTTGAATAACTTTATTTTGATTATTATTGAAGGGACTTTACAGAGTTTTGAATTTTTATGCTCGCGATTGCCCCCTCAGGCCAAAAGCATAATGTCAGCTTCAATAGTAGGCTCATGCACGAGGCGCGCATGCTGTACGTGTGCACTCCTTAACAAAAATAACAGCTGAGACAGTCCCATTTGTGTGTGTGTGTGTGTGTGTGTGTGTGTGTGTGTGTGTGTGTGTGTGTGTGTGTGTGTGTGTGTGTGTGTGTGTGTGTGTGTGTGTGTGTGTGTGTGTGTGTGTGTGTGTGTGTGCGTGGCCCCGAGGATAGAGGACAGGAGAACGCGCAGCTAATTAATAAAATAATTTGGTTCTGTACCTTTCTCTTCAGCACAGCCGACAAAGGTTTATGATGGGTCAGTCCTCCTGTATGCTCAGATCATTCCCTTCCCTTGCTTGAAAAATAAAAACACCTCACTGTCTCACAGCTCACTGCTGTCTCACACCTCACTGTCTCACAGCTCACTGCTGTCTCACACCTCACTGCCTCACACCTCACTGTCACACCTACTTTCTCACACCTCGCTGTCTCACACCCCACTTTCTCACAGCTCACTGTGTTGCCTCACAGCTGTCTCACACCTCACTGTCTCACAGCTCACTGTGTTGCCTCACTGCTGTCTCACAACTCACTGTCTCACACCTCACTGCTGTCTCACACCTCACTGTCTCCCACCTCCCTGTGTCACACCTCATTGCTGTCTCACACCTCACTGCTGTCTCACAGCTCTCAACATAAATGTTTCTGGAAATGAGGTTACTGATTCAGTGTCAGAAAATGATGTTTGGGACATATGAAACAAAACAATGATGCAACACTAACATTGTATGCAAGAGTCCTTTGTGTCCCAGCCAAACCAGTAGTACAATGCAGCTCAGTCATAATGCCCTCACTAATGTCTCATAAATCACTTTTTGTCTTAAAAAAGAAGAAATTGTTGTTCATTGGTGCCAGAATACTACAGAAAAAAACATCTACCTCTGTGTAATTCATTCACCAGTGTCCCGGATGTTGGTATCTTATTTTGAAGTGCTAGCGGAAGTTCTTTAGTTGTCTACCTACCGAGCTTGACTCTTCGGTTATCAAAACAACTGAGACCGAAAGAAAGTGTCCACAAGACGTTCGATAACTTCGTTTTCTAGTCAACCCATTCAAGTTTATCTTTCTCATCTGTTTTCGCAGCGTTCCCTTTCTCCTGTGAGTGTTGCGTGTTTGTTTCAGGATGGTTAAAGTGTCTTTTAACGCGGCGTTGGCGCAGAAAGACGTGAAAAAAGATTTTGAAACTCTGATCCCCGCGGAGAACAGGGTGAGTAGAAAATGGCTCCGAGCTTATCCTGGTTTCCTGGTTTGTTGGTTTGTGCTGTTTGACGCAGACCTGAGTGTTTCTCTTCCAGATAATTTGTTTTCAAACCAACTTTAGTCTCTCTCGGTGTCTGCCAGTGAACACAAACGCTTTCGTCTTTAAACTTACAGACTACAGTTCAACGGGCAGTCAGACGTTGTGTTGTTTTCAAGCATGAACTGCTTTTCTCGTGACCACGACATCAAATGTCCAACATTATTCGTTTTAGTCATTTAAATAACGCGATATTTATATTTTTCCTTCTAAGCCCCCCGTAATTTTAGTAGGATTTAAATCAGGCAGCTATCCTTCTCTTTCCTGTATAAAACAAAGACCTCTGGTGCTCTTGTTTGACCTTCGTCGGTTTTCTGTTTTGCAGACTTTAATCTTTATTGGAGTCAACATTTATTGATTCAAATTACAGTCCAGAGTTCAAAGTTGAAAAGACGTGTAATGTCACTTGTAGCATTTAAGATCAGAGGGTTTTAACGTTTTTAAAGCTATTATTAATCCTCTTTAAAATCAGATCCTCCTTGTTTTTGACGATTGCATGACGTGCGTCACCACATTTATCCGTCAACACTTTTGCGCTGTGTCTGCAGACTTATCTTATCTAAAGGGACTTCTCCAGCAGCAGACGTCCTGCCTGTTCGAAAGGGTTGAGTTTGTGATGAAAACGCTTCTCAGCTGTGCACCAGCCTGGCAGAGCAGACACTAGTGACCCTGTAACAGTTCTGGGGAGTTTACACAAGTGATTTTTTTTCAAAGTACTGAATATTTGTAAAAAGTCACTCAAAGTGAGATGTATGTTCATGTGTATTTATGTGGATTTATTTAACATGAACTCAACTTTTGCTCAAAGGCAAATGAAGGTTTGAAAATAGCATAATCCCACCTGTGAGTGTTAGTTGATGTAACAGCTCCCAGTTCTGGGCAGAGCTGATTGGAGTGTAAACTGCTTTGCGTTGATCTTCATTACTTCTCTGGGTAATGCATTGCTCAGCTTTGTCTCCACCCTGTTGTGAAAGAATCAGGTTTTTAGCTTTCTGTGCAAGTTGAGGGAACGTGACTACCGCACAGATAAGATGTGCGTGTTTTGTATGAGAAAGCATCAAGACATTGGTTTAACTCTGTCTTTTGTGGTTATTGTGACTCCACATTTTGATCCAGTTTCACTTTCAGTCTTAGTGATTTTTATTTTCTTAACCAATGTTTGCCAGCTGGGGACTGAATGTGTGCAAATACAGCACATGTTGTTCTTCGCTTCAGATTGTTCAAGCTTGTATTGACTGAAGAAGAGACTGGATTTTCAGTGTTGGGCGTCTTAATTTCAGGCTAATTGAAACTCTTGCTTATTGTGTTAAGCTCTTTCTCACTAGAATGCTCACAATTCATATAAATTGACAAGACATCCTGATTTCCCATAAAAAGAAAACCATTTGTGGGGCTACATGAGCAAGGAGTTTGATGTTGTTTTGTAGAAAGTTTTATTTCAGCTAAAAGACTGAAATTAACTTCTTTAAACCGTTTACCAGAAAAACACACTAATCATAGCTTCTGGGGAATGAGGAAGTTTGTCTGTCTTGCAGGGTGGCAGTGGTTTGTTATGCTTGTTAAAAACACCAAGAAACATACTGAAGTTGTATATGTCTATCATTTTGGGGAGCAGGAAGTCTGATTTTCCCATGAAAATCAGAAAAGCCCACAAACCTTTGACTTTTACAATGACCCTTTTATTAAACCTTTCTGCCAGTGGCACAGCCTCACTTCTGTCAGACTATCCCACAGCAGTTGTAGCTACATAGTAGCAAAGTTTACCTTCACCAGCAACATGGGAATGTGGGAGGGGTGAATTATGGAAAGCGCTTTGGGTGCCTTGAAAAGCACTATCTGCATCTGATCTATTATTTTCATCATTATAATTAATTTGCTAAAGGTGGAATATGTTATGAATCAAAAGGGTCAATTTTTACCATCTAATTGACACAGCATACACGCCAGAGCTGCAAAGTCAAGGTTGCACCAGCTGGAGGATCCAGACGCACTAATAGGGCTGGGTATTGTGTCCAATTTCCTAAATCGATCCGATTTCGATTCATAAGGTCCTGTATTAGGGATGGGTACCTTTGACATTTGAATCGATTCGGTACTAATTCCCGGTACCTAAGAATTGATACTGGCACTTAACGGTACCAATTTTAGATACTTTTGAGTGTTTAATATTTTAATTCTCTTTTATAATTAAATATATATTTTTCTCAATATATAACCATATTTGATAAATATCACGATAAATAACATACAACTGTATTTTAACATCGTCCTTGTACTTTTATAAGCTGATAATTAAACTGAAGCAAACATCTTTACTGTGAACTAAATTTACTGTGTATCTTCATTCCTTTTGCTGTCCTTTTCTTTGATTTTTCCTACTGGGAAGTTAGAATTTCCGAGGAGAAAGCGAACGCACCATTAGCTGAAAACAATGGTGGCAATGGAAGCTAACATATCAAGCTAACGTTATCTTAAATAGTTTATTTAGCTGCTGGAGCAGATTAAAATGATGATGCCTCACACTTAGATCGTTGTCGCTGGTTTCATCCTCACCCAATCACCCGTCGCATTTAGTAAAGTGAAGCCAAACTTTAGAGCGCGTTCATGTTCTTCTAGTCGGAAATTCTGAGTTCCAAGGAGAAAGCGAACGCACCATTAGCAAAATGGAAGCTAACATATCAAACTAACGTTATGTTAAACATTTTATTTACCTACCGGAGCAGATTAAGATGAGGATGTCTCACTTAGATCGTTGTCGCTGGTTTCATCATCACCCAGTTACCCATCACATTTAGTGAAGTGGACCCAAGCTTCAATTATTTCAGGACAACCTGGACTATCTGAATTTATGCTTATTTTATTAATTTGGTAATAATGTACATGCATTTTGGAGTGGGGAGTGGCTCTGTCTCACGCCGAGATCTGACAGCTGCGCGGCGCTGCCCACTCGTCTTGTTGGATCTCCGAGGAGCTGCATCTCTACCTTCATCCTCTACCTCATCATGACCCAGCTCTTCTATGAGGAAGGATGGATCTGCCACATCATCATCAACATCCTCGCTATTCGCCTCAGACTCTGGCTGTGAGTCTCCATCCACTTCCTCTGCTTCCAGTTCAGAAAACAGCCGTACTATCTGAACTGCCTGGTGGACATTTATCCTTCTCATCATCCTTTATATAAGCCTAATAAAAGCCTACTAAACTGCAGAGACAATATATCTGTCCGGATCGCTCCAAAATATGAAGTTTACCGTCAACCTCTGTCTAATTATTTGTTGTTACTCCGTTCGCGCCACTCCTTTCCCCGTGAAGCGGCTCCTTTTTGCACACATCTCGTTACTCGTGAAGCCTTCCTCTCTCTCTCAGCTACATAATTTTATCAATAGAATATGTGAGACTTCCACGAACAGCAAAAGGATCTCATGTTTTTGTGGGTTTTTTATGTTCACAAGCACATTCCCTCACGAATTACGAAACTGCAGTTTTAACAAGTTATCAGATTGTCTAAAAATGGGTCGTTTTTTAGTTTAGTATAACTCCGCTTTTACATTGCCTTTTAACAAAATTTAAAAACTGGGGTGTAATTTATAATCTCCTTTTTAAAGCTGAATTGAAACCGAAACTCAGGGAGGCGGAGTCTTGCTGCTACAACGTCCCAAATCAGACCTGCTCAAAAGACGCGTATACGCGCCCATGGATCCCAGAGGGTTAAGTATGTGGTTCGCCGTCTTACTCCGGTGAAAACGTTGCTATACACCTGACTCGAGCCAGCAGACGTGACACGGCTGGGATTCTCAGACCCACTTGTGAGGCTAACCCCGGGTTTCCACGGCAGCCGTCAGCAGCACGTTACTGCAGCAGCACGTCTTGCTGCTGCTCTGCCCTTCCCACGAGGCGCGAAGCAGCAGGGGAGCAGCTGTCACCGACAGAGCACGAAGTCACACGAGGGACTTCGTCAGTAAACACAACAACAAGCAGGAGAAAATTACAACATGGTTTGTGTTTTATGTTCTGTCTGTTTTATAATCGCCAATACGGACCTGAAAAACAAAGGAGACCGCTAGCTAGGTGATAACTTCTCACGGGGACGCACAGTTAGTAACCTTTTTTAAAAGTAAAGCAACCGGAAGGCAGTACGTTCTTTATTCTGAAAATCTCGGTAGCTTCTCTCCATTTCCGCGTCCGATTTCCTGTCTTTCCTTCCCCAAAAATGTCGAACTTGACCCGTTTCAGAGGCGTCGCGCGTAGAAAATAGAACCGGCGCGTAAAGGCCGCGACATGCTGCTCCTGAGACGCGGCCGACTCGCGCTGCTGACGGCTGCTGACGGCTCCAGTGGAAAAGGTTCTGTTGACCACAGCGGTTCCTATCAGCAGCTATGACGTGCTGCTGCAGTAACGTGCTGCTGACGGCTCCCGTGGAAAGCCGGGGTAAGTTCAGCGTGTGCGAGGAGCAGCCAATGTGCATTAGCTGCATCATGTCCACCACTCTAACCATATTTGCAGCGTTGTCCGTCACGACAGCTGCGTCTTTGGCGGTCAGCCCCCATTCCTGTATGGCCCCCATCAACATATCAGCAAAATTACCAGAGGTGTGGTTCATGAGAACTTCGGTGGTCTGTAGCACATAAGACGCTAGGCACCAGTCATTGTCCATGTAGTGAGAAGTCACCGTCATATATGACTGCGTTGACAGTGAGGTCCAGGTGTCGCACGTTATGCCAACCCTCTCTGCTGACATCATTTTTGTCAGGATATCTTCTTTCACAGATTTATACATCATGGGGATAACTGTTTCAGTCAGATGTTTACGTTGAACCATAACGTAGTGGGGATCGAGCACCTGAACGTGCCACTTGTAGCCTTCGTTTTCCACTACAGGGTACGGCCATAAATCTTTGCAAACAAAAATT